GAAGATTTCAATCCCTACACGTGATTCTGGTAAAAGACTGGCCGATCTATATTCACACTTACAGTCAGGTTAAAGATCAACGCCACGAGGCGTCACGGTCGGTGCTGGTTGATTAGTCACTTGCCTAATTCGTTAGTTCGTCATTTATCGAATTTATCGATCGTGTTATATTAACGAGCATATATTATAATAACAACGAATAGGAACATAACTTTCCTGCCGCCTTGAAATGGATAATTTTCCTGACCTTTTCAGTAAAATGCGATAGCGAACTAATATATCGTAAACTTAACGCTATTTTGTTTTCCATCGTTAGGCTATATTCCGATTTTGACATTTTCAGTTTATTTTTCTATCTTATATCTTCTAAAGGTAACATTTTCAAAACCTTTCAACATTTAAGCCTGAAAAGTTCCGAGAATTACCTTGCCTTAATAAAACACCAAACTTTCGTAACCCTATACTCCAAATTTAGTTCAAAGATGACTGCCATTTTCCTTGTTAGATATGCACTCACACGTTCCAATTCACTCTAATTACATGCAATTTTATCTGGTACCCATTCATCATTCACGGTGACGCATACTCGTGCGCACGGTGTCGTTACGCGTTGTTTTGAGTTCATTGCTGGCTCGCTTGGTATTGCACGGTCACGCTTAGAGTAGTACACGCAATGGATAAGTGAAGTTGTGACGTGACGAGGTAATGTCGTTAGTGACAGAGCGAAGTGGTTGGGGAGGCGGTTCCCTGCTCGTCACTCTTCATCAGAGCACTATTTATATAGCGCCCTAGATATGCCTTATCAGGGATGGCGACTGGATTAAGGATTCTGTGTTACAAATAGCTGTCTTAATAATAGAAACGAAAGAGCTAATCTTTCGCAAGTGGAAAATTGAATTAATATTGTCTTCAGACATTCGGTCCAACCAATTACGTTTAAGCAAACTTTCAAAAAAGGCCCCCTAGTGTCATGTACTTTTAAAGCAGTCTAAGAACTCTAAGAGATAGAGAGAACAAAAAACAGGAAAGCATTGTTTGTTATATTTAGGAAGAAAGAAGAACGAAAGTCAAAATAGCGTACTTCGAATTTTAACAACCCTAGATCTAGATCAATCAAATAAAACAACGATGCGTCAAATTGGCGCGAAGCAAATGCCAGGTGTCATTGTGTGTCTGTTCACGACTGCGTACACCCTGCCCCCAGTTGAGGCTTGAACTACAAAACTGAACGCCATCTTTTGACCGTTAAGTTTTGATAGTCAAATTCTACAACTGATGGTCAGCGAATGATAAGTTAACCAAATAGAAACTAGTAACAGCCCTTCAGCAACGTATGTACCTACACAACCTGATGTCAGATTCTTTAAACTCTACTTATTGGTGTTTAGATACCAATGTGGTAGTTGCTTCAATAATAACGAAATAATGTCTTCTTGTCCAATCAGTACTTGTACCAAACCAACGTTACTATGTGGGTGTAGTACGTTGCTCACCCATGTAATTTATGGGACAGGAAATTTAATTTTATTGGATTTATTTTGCATAACAGCGACTAAATTATAAGTAAACAAGATTAACTGAATATTTGACGTTCCACGTGCCGCGTCCCAATTTTGAGGGTAACTCAATAGCGAAGTACTTGAGTCACCGTTCTCGGGAATGTTAACAGAAGGCCTCGAGCGCAATTTAGGAGCAATCGGGATGTGATTTGATATCAAATTTTTCCGCCATGAAAATGATAGAAAACTTCTTACTTTGCGGTATCGGATTACGTTTAAGTAATTTGAGAATATTTTCTTTTTTTCTGGGAACTGTATTCATTTATATTGTTATATTCCTGCATTAGATAGTAAGAATCTTTTGAGGGGTGATATACATATCGGCGCGCGGGGCGCAATAAATAAAGTTAGTGTCCACTCGCACGTGTTCCCATACGCCCACATAGGTAGGTAAACAGTATGCTTCTGGTGCCGTCCGAGTGCCCGACGCTCCTACATACATAATGTATCTTACTTCACCTGGATTCTTAATTTACAATGTATACCCCTATCGCTGGATATACAAACTTCACATTGTGCAAGAATTGCATAAAATTCTTTTGGTCATACTTACCCAAAATAAAATACTTAACAATGCATCCTAACAAAATTATAGCAAATTCAAATCTCGGGCCTTGGTTAAGCTGATGAACTGGGCGAATTAAAACTCAAGAGGAAAATATTACGAAACCCGTTCCAAAAGTTTTCCAATCCAAATAGCAATTATCTGCGTCCTTTAAGTTGGGAATAGGTCTGCTTGACAACTGACGGCCCTCGAGGTCGATTGCAGATCCCAAATTCTATTCTCTATTGAATTCATAACAAGCCTTGCTCTTGACAGAGCTATGAATGCCCGTAGGCTAATATCACGATGCTCGCGCTGTCTTGTGAGACTTTTGTAATAGAATAATAAGAGGATTATATGGCCAAGGAGTTTTGGGCAGTGGAACTGTGTTTCGTTGTTTACTTATGGAGAACATTTTGTGTTCAACATACTCGTAAGTGTGTCAAATGTTGTCACTGTTTACCATAAACTGTGCAATTAGAAAAAAAAAACTTTCACGTTTTGGCACACATTTTTATTCAACAATTTAATGTACAAGTAAGTAGTCATCCATCCACTTGACAGTGGTAGCGCGCGCTTTGAATTGGAATAGTTTGGTACAATACCTTCCTGCGAAGCTTTTATTTTTGTTTATGTACGAGTAAAGCTAAGAAATGTCCTACCATTAATGGTCATCATTACATTAACAAGGGCGATATCTCGAGTATGCATTCGATGACTTGATGACCGTTGATTCGACCTTCCCACGTCATTTCGGGGATTAACGTGAGCACGCATTGATTACACCTACTTCGACCTTTGAATTTGACCTTTATTGCACCACTCAGGATTTATTTAGAGACTACGATTTTACTGTTGGAATGGGTAGTGTGCACAAAGAGCACTTAAATAAAATCAAAAATGTAGGTCCTAAAAAGCTACCTGTACCAAGTTTCATCACAATGAAATGCTTTTTTTTACTATTTATTTAATAAGGTATACCTCAATCAAATGATTTTTTACTATTTGTTTGATAAGGTATCTTAGTACCTCAATTAAAAAAATGCTTTTTTAAAATTATTTATCTGATAAGGAATAAGGATAGCTCATCTTCGTGATCGTCGATTAAAGACGATTGGTGAGAGTTACAGTAAAATAATTTTAGTTCTACAGAACCTTGCTGCCCCATCGGCCGTCAGTTCTGCGCACTATGTGCCCTGCCCATTGCCACTTCAGCTTGCTAATCCGTCGGGCTATGTCAGCGACTTTAGTTCGTTTACGGATTTCCTCATTTCTGATTCGATCTCGCAAAGAAACACCAAGCATAGCCCTCTCCATAGCACGCTGTGCAACTTTGAGCTTCTGTATAAGGCCTATAGTGAGAGGCCACGTTTCCGAGCCATAAGTTATCACTGGTAACACACATTGATTGTAGACTTTCGTCTTCAGGCATTGGGGTATTTTGGACGAAAAGATGTTACGTAGTTTCCCGAACGCTGCCCAGCCGAGTTGGATTCGACGATTGACCTCCTTCTCGAAATTGGACCTACCTAGCTGGACCGTTTGTCCGAGGTAGACATACTTGTCGACAATCTCGAGAATTGAGCTCCCAACTGAAACTGGGTAGGGCGCAACATGGATATTCGACATAAGCTTCGTTTTGTCCATGTTCATCCTCAGGCCTACCTGTTGGAAAACTCGATTAAGGTCTTCGAGCATTGTGCCAAGATCTTCCAACGATTCTGCCATGACCACAATATCGTCGGCAAACCGAAGGTGAGTGATGTACTCGCCATTAATGTTTATGCCGAATCCTTTCCATTCCAGGAGCTTGAAAGCGTCCTCCAATGCAGCGGTGAACAGTTTCGGAGATATAACATCTCCCTGCCTAACGCCTCGCTGCAGTGGAATCGCCTTCGTGCTCTGCTCCTGTACTCGGACCGACATGGTGGCGTTTTTGTACAAGCACTTCAGCACCTCGATATACCGATAGTCAATACGGCACCGCTGGAGAGATTGTAACACTGCCCAAGTCTCAATCGAATCGAAGGCCTTCTCATAGTCCACGAACGCCAAGCATAGTGGCAAGTTATACTCCTCAGTCTTCTGTATAACCTGTCGCAGCGTATGGATGTGGTCTATGGTACTATAACCTTTTCGGAATCCGGCTTGTTCGGGAGGCTGGAAGTCATCGAACCTACGCGCGAGACGGTTCGTGATGACTCTCGAAAACAGTTTGTAGACATGACTCAGAAGCGAGATGGGTCTGTAATTCTTCAGCAAGGTCTTATCACCTTTCTTGAAGAAGAGCACCACCACGCTTCTGTTCCATGCCTCTGGCGTAGTTCCCTGGAGTAAGACGGAGTTAAAGAGTCTCTGAAGGACTTTCAGTATCGGTGTTCCACCCGCGTTCAGAAGCTCCGATGTTATTCCGTCATCACCCGGTGCCTTGTTGTTCTTTAGCTGTTTGAGAGCCATCCTAATCTCGTATAGGCTGATGTCCGGGATATATTCGGTATAGTGTCGAGTTAGTTTAGCTCTTGGATCTGTGGTTGAGCTATCAACAGGTTTGGTGACTGAGGTATATAACTGTCCATAAAACCTCTCGATCTCACCCAGAACCTCGGCTTTTGTTGACGTTACACTACCGTCCGCCGTCGTTAGCTTGGGGCAGCAAGGTTCTGGAATGGAGGCCGCGTACCGGAAGGCGCAGCGTGGGACGTCCACCTACAAGGTGGACCGACGACATCGTGAAGGTAGCAGGGAAGCGCTGGATGCAGGCCGCTACCAATCGATCAATGTGGAAAGCATTAGGGGAGGCCTATGTTCAGCAGTGGACGTCCTATGGCTGACATGATGATGACATGATGAATTTTAGTTCCGAATTCTAATATTAAAATTTTCCTCTTTGCAGAAACGTGTTCCCAGAAAACATAGCGCAAGCAACGATCGCGACCTACCGAACTAAATTAAATTACAATCCAGATGACCCGAAAGCAATTAAAGGTAACAATCTGAATTATACTAAAAAAATTCAATATATTGACAAGAAGAAGGAAGAATTGTTTATCTGAAGAATAGTTAATTCAAATGAGAACTCGAAGTAAGACTCCAAAACCTGGTATTTTTGATAACTTTTTTCTAACTTCCAGGGAAACTGGAGACCTACAAAATCGATGGCGAATACCAAAGCGGAAGCAATGTGTTGGGATTGGTGTGCTTCAGCGTGGTGCTGGGCATCACCCTGGGGAAGATGGGAGAGAAGAGCCGACCTTTGCAAAACTTCTTCCACGCTTTGTCTGAGGCTATGATGATCATCACTGGATGGGTCATTTGGTAAAAATTGACTTTATATTCGGAAGTAACACGGCAGTTAGTTTGATGGCCGGTCATCCGTGTAACTCCTAAATACATACCTAATAGCTGATTTATAAGAGTTCAACTTAGATTGAGAAGAGATAAAAAAATCTGAAAGCACATTGCGGGAGACATAACCTATGTTCGGTGGGTAAACTGCCTACTTAACTTAATTAGACCCATATACAGGGTGGAATTTTAAAATGCCACCGGGAGGGAAAGTACTCTTAATATTGTAGATAGAAAATTTTACTCAAAGAAAACATGCCTTTATTTTTAAAAAGAAATAGAACTGCATTCAAAGATTTCCAAAAAATTGCTTGCCACACCCGGGATTCGAACTATTTCGAACCAACTAAAATCTGTCAAAAATTACACCCTGTATTTTATTGCATCGATCGTTAGGGTTAAGTATAAAGATGAAATCTCTCTAACAAACTTAATAAATTAAATTAAAGGAAAACCATGAAATCTTAAATTATTTTAATTATTTACAGAAAATGTCATGCTATATCTAGTGGTGAATTTTCGAAAAAAAATCGAAAATCTTTGAATGCAGTTCTTTTTCTTTTCAAAAATGAAGGAATGTTTTCTTTGAGTAAAATTTTATATTTACAGTATTAAGGGTACTTTTCCTCCAGGTGGCATTACAAAATTCCGTCCTGTACCTATATGCCCAGAGCGCAGAGGCACGAAAACTACCCAATGGTACATGTTCCCTTGCGTGCGATCGATGCTTATAAAAACTGTAAATATGCCAAATTTCAATAAAAATCTGAGACCGAAATAGTTCTGTGAATCTATATAATAAATAAATAAAATAATACATCTATATAATATAATCATTCATCGATATTTAGTTCGACGAGAATTTTTGTCTTATTCCAGGCTATCACCCCTCGGAGTGTTCTTCCTCGTGACCGCCAAGATCATGGAGATCGATTCCTTTGCGGAGCTGGTAGGGCGACTCGGCCTGTACTTCATGACGGTACTCCTGGGGCTGTTCCTGCACGGCTTCGGCACGCTCAGCATCCTGTTCATCCTGGCTACCAAGAAGCTGCCGTGCCGGTACATCGCGAAGATGGGGCAGGTTATGGCGACTGCGTTTGGAACTGCATCTAGGTAAGGAGTTGAATCCGAAAACTACATAGGTAATGGAGATTCACTTCTTTATAAAGCTCATAGGGTTGGAAAGGGCAAAGGGTTGTAGTTCAAGGCTGTATTTTAATTGGCCTTTTTGTCAGAGGGGCACAAGCAGCTATCTCCATTTGTGTATCTTTTTCATTATGTACCTATGTCTTTCCTGCTTGTATGTCTTTCTTTCAAATAAAAACTATTCTATTCTAATTGTTTAAAGAACCTTGGGATTCTCTTAATTCTTCTGTAGCTGTTGCAGTAGCAAAGATTCTCAGGAATTTAAAAACCTGTGCTGTCATTTTTATAATGTAAATTATCAAATGAGAACAATTGCATTGAAAAAAAAACCTACAATAGAAACAAAAAATATAAGCCAATGATCATACGCCTTACCCCATTCGTAAACCTGATGGTGACGCTATAGCAGATATGTCTACTAACTAAAATACGAGGGAGTTTGTAAGCTAATAAAAAGCAGATTCCAATTGCTTGAAGATGGAAGCAACCAGAAACAGCGTCAAAACATTCTGAGTAAGTTTCCCTTGACTTTAATAGCTTGTCGATCTTATGACGTCATCAATATTCCAGTTCAGCGACGATGCCGATCACGATCGGGTGCTGCGACGACATGGGCCTGGACCCGCGCATCACGCGGTTCGTGATCCCCATCGGCGCCACCATCAACATGGACGGCACGGCGCTGTACGAGGCCGTCGCCGCCATCTTCATCGCGCAGCTGCGGAGAGTCGAGATGTCGTTCGGGAAGATTGTTGCTGTCAGGTAAAAAACCCAAAAACTCATTTGTTTTTTGCAAGTAGGCTTTTTGCATACGTCCCAATATTACTTTAACCCTGCCTCTGCTTCAGGACAATAAATGTGCAAGTGCTGAGCAGAAGCAGCGCAAGAAACTCAGTTACTATTGTCGGCCTCTTTTTAAAGGGATTACAATGAAGTAATTTACACACATTGCGTATAGCATGGTTTGATGTTTCACTACAATGTTAAATGTAGACCTTTAAGTTACGCCAAAGAATTACTAGAGAGAGATTTACAAGAGTCGAACTGTAGACAAGAATGGATGTTTGTATGATAAATATCATGTTTTGCGATCGTAGCTTAAAAATGTGGTTTTTAACCACAATTTTTGTAATCGCTGTAAATTGGGGCAATTTCACTAGTGACACTAACATCAATAAGATGTTTAGCAGATTCATGTAATACGCTTCATGACCCCGTCTAAAAATCTAGGTATTGAAACATAATTACGTAGTATTAATATACATAAATATTGCTACTTATCTTTTCCTTACTTTATGACTTTGCAGTTTTACGGGAGTGAGAATATTTGTAGAGTGGTCGGGATTCAGTTATCTTTTACCTTTCTAGACTAACCCACCACCACCCATGGTTCTTCCTGCCTCACGGCGTATGAACCGAATCTCGGGAGAGCGCGCGGGTACTTGCTCTGGGCTCTTTTCCCCGGGCGCTTTGCTTGACTCCCTACAAATTTATCTGATCCATGTCCCTTCTCATAGTCAATTCTCCCCCTTCCGGGGCTTGACACCACAAATACGGTACTTCGCTTCGGGCTGTAGATCGTTGATAAATGTCATCACTTCTCATAACTTCGCCTGATTGTGTGCCAGGAGTGCGCGAACTCGCGCAGCGCGATCCAGTTAGATCCACCTTTCTATACTATGTGCTTCAAATTGTATAAAAACTCGGATTTGCCCGCACTTGCATGTCTGCAGCGTGACCGCCACGGCGGCGAGCATAGGCGCGGCCGGCATCCCGCAGGCCGGGCTCGTGACCATGGTCATGGTGCTGGACACCGTCAACCTGCCCGCCGAGGACGTCTCCATCATCCTCGCCGTCGACTGGCTGCTGTAAGTACTCCTAGACTATTGGTTCAATCTTTATAACTTGGCCTTAACTGGTTAAGTCGATAAAAATAATGACAGTCACAAGAGTTACAGCAGTGGGGAACTAGAGGTGGGAATAGTCCCATCATCGATATAAATTTCTGCAGTGGGGATATAGTTCCCTCCATATTTTGTACCTCATTCGCTTGTGTTGTGGTCTAAAAACAATGAAAAATTTGACTGTTATGACTATTATACTGTAACAGTGCGTTGGTTAGTTTCGTCCCAGTAGTAAGTCCAGAATTTAGAAACACTCTATTAAACTAAGTTTCAGAACTTATACTTATTCAGGTTTTATTTTTATGAATTTGTAGGTATTCCAAATAAGTACTAGAAAGTAGTAGGAATTGAAAAGGTTCAAAAATAGTTATTTTGTCATGAGTGCAACTTTGTTTGGTCCACTGAATCGTTATAATACCTACAAATCCTCCTTCAAGTGATATTTTAAGCATCACTCCAGCACTTTTCTAAAACATCCCCAAACAATTTCAGCGACCGATTCCGGACGACGATCAACGTGGTGTGCGACGCGTTAGGCGCCATCATCGTGTCGTCGCTCTCTCAGGGCGACATCGAGAAGACGCGCGCCATCCAGAACGACCGCGAGGCGGCGCCTGCGCATGAGCTCACCGAGCTAGAGAAAGGCGAGCACTGAACCGCCTTGACTAACGGTTAGGGCTATTTGACACCGAAGCGAAGACGAGTTGAAAGAAGATGATTGTTATTTACATGTCTCGATTAAAGCGGGGACAGGACCAAAGTAGACGGGACACATCCAAACAATTTCCATAATACCTACATATCTCCATGCGGAGTGACATGACGAAGGGAGACGTGACATATTTCGCAACCAATAAAAAGTTCGCTACTTTTACGTCTCGCCTCAAGTGGTCTCAAGCAGAGGCAAGATGAAAGAAGATGAGACAGAAATAATTTCTTTATTTATATGTATTTTCGAATCAGCTTTAGTGGAAACGGTTGAGCAGACCTCCAATTGATTCTTTTTGGTGGAAGAAATAACTTGCCTGCTATGCTTCTCGTCACAGCTCATCTCAACTCGTCACCTCGTCTCTGCTTTGATGGAAAACAGCCCTTAAAACCGTTCTGTGTTCAAATAACGACACCGTTATTTTGTGCCAGGACAATAAATTAAACGATCAAGCGTATTTATGTTGTGATTCTGAATTTGTTTCTTAGTTAAGTCTTATGAATCTCAGATATGCTGCCTGGGTTAGATACAATGTTGATTTACATTTAAAATTGTCGTTTGCGATATAAATCTTATATTTCTTAACATTTCGTAGAAGTGTTGTATTATATGAAGTTTACGATAATGTATTATAGATTTGGATTATTGTTGTGTGTAAGAATGGTGTAGCCATGATGTTATTGTAATATATTTCGTTTGTATCTTCTGACTTTCATAATCCTGATGCTTATTCTTTGACAAAAATTTAGTAATTCTTTGGATGGTCATCTATGAGTCTATACTATTTCGAACGTTTAAGAGAGCTTATAATGTCGGTGTGTTCTCGATGTGCCATTTATACTGTAGGAAGTGCATTAGAGGCGATAATATATTCACATCAGGTAAATGCAATTTCTGTACTTAAAAACTTTTTCATGATTTCTCAAAACAGTCCTCTATTGATTGCAGTAAATAATTGAGATGTCGTGAAATGGATTTTGAGCCAATCATCATCTCATGTACAAATGTAATGATGTATAACTTACACTATATTTTGGAAAAAATAAAATTACACTCAGTCAACATTTCGAAACATTTTTCAAAAACGTACTCTGTAGCTAAAACTGTTTATCTATTTTTGTATGGATGTACATTTGCGTATGTAGTGAGTGTTTAGCTCTAATATTTATGGATGTATTACAGTAAATGTGCCATAATAATATAAGTCAAGGACTTTTTGTTAATTTGTTTTGTAAGATACATTACAATGTAGAGTTATTGTCAGTCAATATAGTCATTGCATTCCATTTATTCTCATGTGAAGCAGTTAACACTCAAAAGTGTCTAAATTTATCTTTTTATGTTAAATATTGTATATTTATTAAACTGTTATTTTATAATTTATTATAATATAATATGTGTCACGTTTTAAATGTATTGCAATAAAGACATTGGAAGTATCAAAACTTAGTATTGACCCGATGTTTAAAAACAAAATATTACAGACTTACTTTATCAGGCAATAAGTTGCACGAAACACACTCAAAGTGTTGGACAACATTACACAACGAAGGGTAACTTTTAAATTAAAAGCTCTACGTTCCTGCAACTCGTAGCGAGCTTTGTGCTTTCTAGTATAGTCACGCGTTGTGCACATGTTGCGCGTCATTTGTTGCCTGTCAATTGTTTTCTGGTGGATTTATATCATTATATTGAAGGTAAATGATATTATATCGTATGCAAAACCTAATTGTCTTACGTAATTAGACTCCATATCAGTGTTCGGCCTACTTCAGTATTGACTAAAATGTTCTATATCATAGCTCAGGGATGGCGAACCTTTAAGTATGAACGTGCCACTATTTAAAAAAAATTTGAAGTAGTCATAGACACGTGCCATTAAATTAACACCTAATGCTATCAAGTGGCACCACTGGTGAGTGACACGACCTTACTCTACAGTGGCACTAACTGATGACGGCAAATACGATAGCTCATAATCAAAACACATTATTTACTATTGAATTACTGAATTTGTGATTGGTGGCGTGCCCAAAATATTATGTCGCGTGCCATCATTGGCACGCGTGCCATTGGTTCGCCAACCCTGTCATAGATGATACTCGTAAGTCAAACTTATATTATATAGGTGTAATGTTTGTATACTTCTAGTCTGTTAATATATTCTTTGGATTCACGAGCCACTGTTTTACCGTGTATATCTTTATTAGGTGAGTAAACGCATCACAAACAAGTCTTGAGCATGAAATAAAAAAGTGAAATTATATAGAAACTTTAAAAATGAACCAAAAATTGACCAAATATACATAGTGATAAGTATTAAGCACAAACCTGTGGCGGCTCTATACAACTCTATGACATATTTTATGTTTTATCTATATGGAAATAATTGATGTTAATTATTTTAATTAATAAACACTTCAGTGTGAATGTTTTGTTTTTTATCGTACCTCTAGTTTTAAACTAAAGCTTATTTTTTATTAATTTTGAATTCGGACTTTTCATCGTGGGTTGTTATGTTGTAATAGGTTTAAATCTATATATATATAAGAAAGTCGTGTTAGTTACTTCGCTTATAACTCAAGAACGGCTGAACCGATTTAGCTGAAAATTGTCAGGGAGGTAGTTTAGAGCCAGGAGAAGGACATAGGATACTTTTTATCGGGACAATATTATTTGATCCTCTAAAAACTAATTGATCTTTTTTGTATGTGCACTTTTAAAAATAAATGATGTTTTTTATTATATTTTATCCTTATATTAATTATTGGGTCTATATTAGTTGATCTACGGATAAATTATGAATGATCTTCATTAAAGGTAACATAATATTTATGTTTAACATACTCTTTTAATATTTGGTAAACAAAAATAATATTTGATCCTCTTTTTTAGTTATTGATCTTTAATTTTGTTAATTTGATGATTTTTATATCAAGTTTGCCTTTTAATATTGATCACCTAATAAATACATTTCGATCTATGTATAACTTAACTTTAAAATATATTTGATCTAACAAAAAATATTATTGGTTAATATTTTTAATTAAAAAATATCTTTTAATTTACGCGGTACTTTGTGGTTGAGTGACAATCGTCCGTCATTGGTTACTGAGTTGGCCAAGGGCTTAGCGGCCAATAAGCAAGCAGAATGGTACATTGCCATGTTTGTTTAAATTACAAGCTTTGCTTAGTTTGGGACTAGAGGCGCTATGTAAAATAATTTCTTACTTCTGACATCCCTGAACCCGACATCATAATTTTTACCTCTTTATTTTTTTCAAATCGCAAGGTTGATTTTCTCTTAGTATACCGATCTCGACCGTGATCAGTGACCATAAAGTCATCTGTCAACGGGTCGATTAGACACGATAAAAGCACTAAACGATATTTGTTTACTTTTAGTGCGACATCGGGTCGTAAGGACCTGATAAGTTTTTTTTTTCCAAATATTTACTGTGTTTGACGAAACAATTGCAAAACAATATTTATCTTTCGTACTACTGAAAAGACCGAATATATCCATCCCGCACCAACGCATCCAGCACCTAAGGTCAATTCGACCCGATAACGCAGTGTGAACGTGTTAAGTATGCTTTTTTAATAAAAAAAAATCTTTGAACATCAAGTGCCTTTAAATAGTTTCCATCCTTTGACTACAACTTAATAAAAATAAGTACCATAACATAATTATTTTGAAGATTATTTGATATAGACAAAAAATAATTTATACAAATCGAATTATTTAAAAAAGTATCACAATATTGAATATTTGGTGCTCATTTCTTTTATTTTTGAGGACCAACAAGTAACGATCAGATAAAATTTTTACATCTCAAATTTTTTTTGCGTAGTTCAAAAGAGGTTAAAATATCGATCGATTTTATTTATTTTATGTCTCAAAGAAAGAGGATCAATCATTAAAATAGATGACCATTTAGATTTTTTTATTTGCCGTTTTTGCTAATTTAAAAAGATCATTTAAATACATGCCCTTTTTATCCCGTTATTTATTGCCATTAAGGCGGAACAAAGTTCGCCGGGTCAGCTAGTTAGAAATAAAATCCAAATATAACAGATTAATTTATTCATTTATTAAAAAAGTACTCTCCTTTTAACTTATCAATTAAGATAACATAAAAAATCTTCGTTTTTGTATTTACATAGCTGAGTCTCTATCACCTCACAGCCAAGGTACGCATTTACGCTACAACAAAATAAACCAATATAAAAATCTATAACTGAGTGAACAAAAACATAACCCTCCTTCTGGCGCAGTCGGGTAAAAACAACATTGAAAGTAATAACAATAGCTTGGTATTAACATACCTACTCGTGGACTTATCGTCTGTCAGTCAGTCTTATTGAATAAAATACATACATAGTTATAGTTATGTATTACAAAGTTTCATGCGTCTGGAATGTTAATAGCCTTCTAAGTTAAGCCATGAGTATTGTAATAATAAAAATTAAATTATAAAAATCCAAGCACATCACTTACAATAAAACTTAACATATTCAGGAATGTTAAAAAAACACTGACTTTCCACATAATTTACAATATGGCACAACAAACTTAAGTAATTAAGGACATTAACTATATCTCTGGATATGTTTCAAGACTAACTTTTAAAGCTTCCATTTACACAGGAATTATACGTTGTCTTATTTTTGAGACACAAAGCAATAATTGCTTGAATAACTCACACGATATACCTCTAACAGTTCTTAAGTAACATGTACATTCATTGAAATAAAACTAAAGGCACTAAATCAACAATCATTTACAACAACGCAATTGTGCCTTTTTTCGTGTGATGCGGATTTCCCCGGATTCCGTTAGTGCGGGCTATCCGCATATTTCATTATTTTTATATTTTTTCCTGTATGCGGGCTACACGCACGTGGAACGCGGATTGGCTGCGACCACAAAATACGAAATATTTGTCCTGCATACAACCAGCAGCGTGATTTTACATGGGACCAGATCCGCATGCGTTCCGAAATCCGCACCACAGGAAAAAGGCACATAATATAATGCGACAATTACTTAAATAATGGTTATTACGATTTCGTTTTTTGGTGCCATCACTACTTATTTAATTTATAGACAGACGCTGTTTTAAATTACGTCAAAACATGCCAATCTAGAATCACAACACAAATAATAACAGAGAAATGTATTCTGAAACATTTTCAGCCATCTGCTTACTGGATAAAAAGTACCTTGATTTATCAAATATTATTTGTAAAAGTCTAAGATTTATGAGTAATTGAGTAGGTTTGATTATTATTTTTATACACTTATAAACGCTATTGTTGTCTTATTAATCATCGCATTGAAATATTTTAAGGCAACCCTATTCTTTACATATTATATTTAATCGAAAATACTTTTCGTCCGGTAAGCACGCTTCTTAATTACGAGTATGTAGGTACTTGACTGCGTTGCTCAGCGCTGCTTCGCCTACACTATACTAGTTTTGCCGATCAACAGTCAAACATCGATAGCAGCACAATATACTAGTAGTCTATCGACATTTTAAATCCACGACTCTACATAATAGCGTAGGCTCCGCCCTTATCAATACGTACTTTTCACAGCTGTCGCTTATCAAAATAAGGCACATTCCGATCCAAGTGACCGCGAGCATTCGCGCGTGACCGCGAGCATTCGCACTGGACGCGTGGCGAGCACATTCTAGTTGTAACAATCTCGAGGACATACTGTAAATTCAATATTAAGTCTTGAAACTTTTCTGATATGTATTTGCGACTGAAATGCAGTTCAGTCGAACCATCTGTAGGTAAAGAAGCTACAAACGATATCAGTATTGAATTTGTAGCGCTTCCATTACGAATAGTAGCTCCTTTGATCTCGTGCATATAAGATTTGCCGAAAGATAACAGATAACTGTTACGATAAAAGGGTTCTGACTTCAAAGAAATAGGCTGAATCTGCCGGTTGATTTAGGTTTTCTTTCCGTCAGTGAATTTTATTTGTGCAAATTATACATTTAAGTATGTACTTTATTTATCACAAGAGTGATCACATAATTAATTAACGTTTTCCGAATTACTATTAGAAATTCTTTTGAAATCAACCTGATGTAGAGCTACTATTCTTCGATTGCTAAGGGGTGCTATACACATAAGTAAGCCAGCATTATGCGACTCAGTAGAGCTGTAGAAGAAGCAGTAGGAGGACTATAGCATTCGCTCTACCAGGATGACGCCACTGTAGAGTAAGGTCTTGATACTTGCCAGTGGCGCACTTGAGCACAAAAAAGTTAACTTTCATTAAGGATAAAGGTTAACAGGAAGGGTTTGTCTGACAAATACAATGAGGGCAGTCTTTAACCTACTAACCCTACAAAAGGATCAAGAGAGGCCCTTCTCATCTGGAGAAAGATCTTTTATGAGAACAGACGGGGCCTCCACGATCGCGGGGCTCTGGGCACCTGCCCATATTGCCTAGTGGGAAAGAGGGGCCTGATTTGTCATAAAAAATACTGCCGGCTCACATATGTGTTCCTAGCACACCTAACTAGGCGGTGTGACCAGTATGCGAACGGAGCAGTGCCGCGCGCACCGCTCTGTCGCGCGTCGCCGCCTTCTTCTCTTGGTCGCGCGACGCTGTCGGGTGTCTCCTGGATCGGAATGCCACCTCTACACCATCCCGTTCCCGAAATGGGTGTTGTTGTTCAGGTGCTTGTGGGTCCCGTTCTGGACCGCGTAGGATGAGTCCCGCCGGCCGTTCCGCTCGGAGAGAGAATTCCGTGCTCGGGCGAGGGTAGCTGCGGATATTTCCATGGACTCGCCGTAGTAGGGTAGGCGAGAACCTCGCCTCATGCTGCCGCTGCGGTATCGCGTGTTCTGGAGTGGAGAAAATACATTTGATGTTAAAAATACACCTGATAAAGGTAGCAGGAAGGCGCTGGACGCAGGCCGCTACCAACCGGGCAACATGGAAAGCATTGGGGGAGGCCTATGTTCAGCAGTGGACGTCCTATCGCTGAGATGATGATGATGATGATGAAGCCTTTAAACATTAATTGACAAAACTCTTATAAGAAGTGTAATGATGTCTTGATTATTTTTTTTTACTACGATAACTTTAAGAAAGAATAACGATGTATTGCATACGAGTGTAATTCAGTTTCTTACAAGTGTAAGTATAGGTCATGTTTTAAGGAGTACTTGTGACTAACCAATCAAACATGTGTTATAATATTTGTCTTCAGTAACTTACAATAGGATGCTGACAAAAACGGGGTTCGTAAAGAGATGATGCAACTTAATTATCTATAAAAGATTTTAAACTTACCGGCCCTGACTTCCACGTCCACCGGTTCCTGTTGAAGACCCCGTAGACGATGGGGTTGGCGCAGGAGTTGGTGCATGAGAACAGCCACATGGCCTTCTGCAGGGCGGGGTCCAGATTCTTCAGAGTGTCTTTGTCTATCCAGAACCTGGAATTATGGTCAAAGAATATTTTAAATACACTCGACGTCAAATAAATCGCACCTCCCGCGACAAGCATTTTCAAACGTATGCATCCCCACTTCCCACCAATATTGGTACCATTTAAAAGCCTAGTTCTAACCTTCATTTCATTAAAGGAAAGGTTTTTACCTCAAAAATGTGTCTTTAGAAGGATCCAGAGTCTATTCTTCAAAAAATAGGTAGTTAAGCTAGAGCCAACTTTTATGGCTATAAGACTGTTAAGTTGGGTTTAATTGCTATCCATCTGTTAAAGAGGACACGTGAAATCATTATTTGGTTTTATGATCATAAAAATTGGTCTAATTGATCCCATAGGTGGGCCCAAAGTGAGGTATTTTTTCAAGTCACATTTATGGTATATGTTATTCATTTATTAAGAAATTTAATGTGTTTTTCTTTAAGGATATTTATTGGGCTTTCAAATAACACCAATATTGTTGGGGCACCATGATTGTGTCAGGAGAAAATCGTTAAAGTTTGCGTCGCGGAAGGTGCGGTTTATTTGATGTTGAGTATAGATTTTCTATTAGTTAGTCTCCTATCTGCAAATGATTAAGGATGGTTTTAGTTTCAAGTCAATATTATATTAGAGTGTAATGCCGACATAGTAGTCGACTAAGAAAATTAGATGTGACAGTAAAGCCTGCTTAATATTGAAGGCTTGATAGCGCAACGGTAGAGCATAGTTCACAGAGATCAACAAGTCCTTACTAGACTGGGTACATTTTTCACTTGACTCGCGACTGGGTGTACTCGTAATAAGACTGTAGCAAAATGTGTAGTCTGGGTCGTCGTAATCATAAGAAATATTTGGAGTGTTTATCGTTAAAAACAATCGCCAATAGCGCGTTTAAAAAACGTGGTGTGTAATTTGGCTGCAAAGGAGTTACGGAGATGAAAAAAGAAACAACTGACTGACTTACCATAGACAATAACAGTAGTAGGGCGACCAGCAGGTGAAGAACACCAGCACGATGGTGACCGTCATCTTGATAGTGCGCGCGCGCGCCCGCCCCAGGATGCCGACGCCGCTGCGACGCATTTTGTCTGTGAATTCATTCAAGAACATTGTATTATTAATAAACCCACAAGGTGAAGGATTTCTTCTTGGAACGGTCGTACCACTTCATTTGAATAAGGAGTAGAATTTGTTTGTTAGGCACTAAAGTTGTGAGTTAGGGTGTGTAGGGTTTGAAGCTTGACTCTTCACGAGATCTGTGTGCCTACCATGAGTTTACGTTAGGTGAGCTCGCTAGCGAATACGTCAAAAAATTCTATGAAGATTTTATTTCTTGAAAGTAGCCGCTAGGGGCGCTGCACAATATGTCATACATTTAAATGTCATTTTTTTACGCAGTCGCTAGCGAGCACACCTAACGTAAACTCATGGTAGGCACACTGATAACTTTTTCACAACGCGAGCCATTATGGTCTCGTCGTGATAAAATTTTACTTACATTAAAATGTTTTTGGTGCGATCCTATTACTCAACCCAAGAATGCCCAAGATAAAGATATGACAAAGACTAACCCGTATTGTACAACTGTACCTAAGCCTCGTCATGTCGTGAATCACATGCACAAAGTTGAAACGCTTTCATCAAGATTGCCGAAGACAGACAATAATGGAGTCTTTACTTTACATACAACGAGAATATTCATTACTAAATAAACGGTATCACCAAATGCTTTGCATTGCTGAAAACCACAAGCCCGTACCATGATATTGTTGATGATAGTGGAAAAGCGACAGTATCGCTACTTTTGCTTACCATTAGCGGTGTTCGCTCTCCGGATGATTTCGAGTAGCGCGGCGGAGGAGCAGTATAGTGTAGACAACAGGGGAGCGATGTACATGAGGAGCATGTTGACTAGAAAATACGCGAACTCGTGTCTGAAGGTGGGTAGCGACCCGTAAGACACGCACTGGTAGTACCTGAGAACAAATATAAATATAGATTAGAAGTGCGCCATATTTCCTCAAAAGAGAGGAATTCTTGTGGTTAAGGAGCTTGGATCAGAATTCAGTGAAAGTTTGTTGTTAAACAATTATTCTGGTGCATTTTTCGATGGCGTTTATGTGTCGAAATTCCATCCTTTATGGAAACTATTTAGCAATTGTATGACTAGAACACCTAACAAAATAAGTAAAAAAAATACAATTGTAATAATTCATTGTAGAACTTATAATAGAGTAGGTAAGTCCCTGAAAATGTCGTATGAGTAAATTTTACCCTTGGAGCATAAACCATAATCCTCTAAGACTCTCTCTACCCGTTACAACTTGCATATTATGCATAAAATTAAGTCATAATAATATAGTAGGTATGTTTGTTTGTAGATAGGTGTACGTAAGATACGAACATCTTAAATCGTTTCAAGTGAAGTAGCCGAAAAAAAGAAAATAAGACTGGAAATATTTCTTATGAAGCAAAGATAGTTTCGCTAAACTTTTCCCCTGGGGCAACAAGATTTGAACTTCCACATCTTTTTTATCGAAGAAATCTTTAAGCATTCGAAATAGGTCGTTATTTACCCTATCTCTGAAATCTATACAGTGTGAGTCACGTTAAAGTGTACATATGAAAATAGATGAAACTAGACTTATTTTTATCGACAAAATAGAGGTAAAAAAATTTGAGATTTTTTTAAATTTTTTTATAAAATATTTTTTCTTCCAATTACTTACTGTAAAGAAAACGTAATAACTTTTAAACGAAGCGGTATATCCTGATAAAATAAAAACAGTAATAATGCTAAATAACAGGCAATACTAAAAAATACATAAAATACACAAAAAATGCCAACAAATAATAAAAAATGATACTTTTTAAAAAAAATCTGCTTTTAAATTCGTGTTTTTTTGGTTATTTCATAAATTTTAACTAAAATGCTTATTTTACTTCGAAATCTTTTGTTTTTATTTGAAATCTAACTTGTCCTTATCAAAATTACAAATCTAGAGCCATTTTCAGTTTCGTTGTTAACGAAGCGTTGAATGGTGCGCCCGGAGAGGCTTAGTTCAAACGATCATTGCAAAAGTTGTGATAGTGATAGAGACATGTGATTTTTGGTTTTACAAAGGTAATACAATAGAGAATAATAAAAAGTAATAAAAACCACCGGTTATAGGGGCATTTTTTGGAGAAATTTATCAAATAACCAAAAAAACACGAATTTGGAAGGAGATTTTTTTCAAAAATTATCATTTTTTATTATTTGTTGGCCTTTTTTCTGTATTTTATGTATTTTTTTAGTATCGCCTGTTATTAAGCATTATTACTGTTTTTATTTTATGAGGATATACCGCTTAGTTTAAAAGTTATTACGTTTTCTTTACAATAAGTAATTGGAAGAAAAAAAATTCTATAAAAAAATAAAAAAAAATCTCAAAAAAATTTTGACCTCTTTTTTGTCGATAAAAATATGTCTAGTTTCATCTATTTTCATATGTACACTTTAACGCGACTCACACTGTATAAAGCTAAATCTACTTTTGCCTTTGAAAATATGAAATGATACTTCGACATGCGTGAAATATTAGGCATTATAGAAAATGGAAATCTACGTTTCAAAGTGAAAGACATACAAGGTATTTAAAGGTATACCAATAAATCTGACATCAAAAGGTCTCATAAGGTTTTCCAAATGATATTAGTTTCAAACGTGCTGAGATTTACGGATGTGTTCAATTATGCCTGAATAGGAAACCCAATTTTATTGTTTGTAGAGGATGAACAAACAAATGCTTCACAGAGTTAAACCCACATTTCGAGAAATCAATATTGCCCGAGATATATAGGAGGTACAGAAGACGGCACGTCAAGGTAAAAATTGTAGAGTCTTATGCAGTCGTAATAGGAGCGAATTTGCAACAAAAATGGGTAGTCTAATGCGCTGTCATCTTTACTTTTGAGAGGATAACACGTGCTATTTGTATCTTCACTTAATTCACTTTATTGTGAGAATATATTATGTTATGGACATTCATATTATTTGTCGAACAGATTACAAACATTGACCACTCTGATTTGGTGAATGTAAGACCCGATTTTCAGAGAGCTTAAAAAGATTTTTAGTTTATTTACGACTTTTAGTCAAATGTCTTTAATCTGGCAAGCGTAAGATAATGAAGACGTTATGGCTGTATTTATTTTTGCTTTGTAAATGTTTTTGTGTATTATGCTTTATTAACTTCTTTTTTACATGGACTTAGACTAAAAATATAACAATCGGGAGAACTATTATACAATTAGAGAAGTTCGTTAATTAAAGCTCTTTTTTGCTCATTAACTTGGCCTGCACGGCCTTTGTATCGGATTGTTGGATTATCTTCGACGAGGAGGGACTAACATGTCCCAGACAGGTGACATACTATTTCGATGAGAATGACAATCCAAGGACCAGTTTGAAACAGTCTCTCATAGGTACCTACCTATTTTGCTTGGCATTTTTCTATTTGACATAACTAGTTTCAAATCGGGGATCATAACATTACATATATTTTGTTCCGAAAATACAAAAATACAGTGTTGAATAAATGGTTTTACTAGTATGACTGTCAAACGTCTGGAATTTCACGAGTCTGGAAACTTTGGAAAGTGAGGTATAGCTTTTGATGTAGTTCAAAGTTACCGCTCTTTTGTTAGATAGACTTATTACCTACTTATTAATTTAAAGCAAAATTATTTACGTAAGTATTTAATTTAATTCTTGTGATCGTATGACGCGAGAGCAAGCTATTTTCTATAAATGGAATTGCACAGGGCATCGAGAGGTTTGAGTATAGAAATAGTGCGTCGTGCCAAACGACATTATGTTTATTATTAGTTCTATGTTTGGATTTCAACTGTTTATATCATGTCTGCAGCTAGCGGTCATTGTTCGCCTAACATTATAGTTTATTTAATTAATATTATGCTGTTATGTCCTCATTAAATCATTTTAAAACAAACTAAAACTTATTTTCAAACACTAAGGTGGCTAGATTTATCTTAATTATGTAGGTACTTACTCGTACACAACTTAATGTTTGCCTCAGCAATATCTTAATTGTACTGAAGATTCGATAAAAAACTAATTTAGATAAAGATATTCGTTGAAGAGAACCTTGTGAAGATAAAAAGGTCTACAAACAGTCGTGGAGTTGTTAATTAAAATTATTGACGCATGATCAAAACAAAGTCATTTAAAAATGCAAGGTCGTGGTTTTGACCCAAATTTAACTTAGAAATGTTTTACCCAGTCTTGAAAGCTAAAACGTAAATAGTGTTTCGTCACATTTCAGACAATATGACGAAATACATAACGGTCGAAATAGCCCCATGAATGTGGGTCAGGTCAGATGCCTCCTTGTTATTGGTATCAAATATCTTGCAAATGGGCATTTCTAGCTATTGCCAGAATTATGATAGTCCGATCTATTTTTTGTACTATTAAGTTTTTCTTCGCTGTCAACCAAATTTGATACCGAGTCAAGAAAATCTATAATTACATTATTGAGAAAAACGTAAAAATAGCGTTTCTTAGAATGGCATTAGAATAGTGTATACAATTAATCTAAGAATGATTTTGTTTTATACAAACTGTTCATTGTACTCCGAAATAAGCACAAAATCATTTATTATTATTTTTAAATGAATTGCAAATTGTTCTTTCTGTTTTTCAGGTAGGTTCTTATCTCCTTAGCAGACAGGTACCAAAATGGTTTTAAAAATTGATAAAATTTTGTGTTTAATTTGAGGATCGAAAAGCTCACGGGACCCTAGGGAAGTAGGGATTATTGGAGTGTTTAAAAGAGAGTGACTTACCCCTTAACATCAGGGTGTTCTTCCACATGGAAGATGAAGCTCTGCGGTAGGCTGGCCAGCACGGCGCATCCCCACGCGATGGCCAGCGCTCTGCGTACGCGCGCCTCCCACGTCACGTTCAGAGGCTTCAGGATTGCATAGTACCTGCGGAGAAGGTCACTGTTCAACACTAAGGCTGAGTTGCACCACCTAACTTTGACCGTAACTATAACGATAACCGGTGCTTTTTGTATGGAGTTTGACAAATTTTTGACATTTGTCGAAGTTAAAGAAAGATGGTGCAACCCAGCCTTAGTCCTTAAACAATAGCTAAATAATTGACGTGTACAAAAAAGGAGAGGTCTCGTGGCGTAAATGTTGAGTAAGGAAATGCGAACATCAGGTCCCCCTTACCCGGCTGGCCAGAGAGGGTGAAGAGTGGGCCAAATTCTCCATTTGTCTCTATCAAACTAGAGATACTAGAGGGTATTGCTCCTGCATTGAAGACCTTAATCCTTATGATGATGACGATGAAATTAAACTATCTACTCTGTTAGTTGGTAACAGCCTAGGTACATACATATTCAATTAGCTTTGTGTATCAAATATGACAATAGTCGCAAGTAAATATTTACATATCCATTCTGACCATTTTGTAGTTCCAGTAGATGTAGCGATTCTGAAAATTACTCTACACTATTACGTACGTCTTATTAGTTGACAACTATATGCAAATGATTACGCAGACACCTTTACATTCGTGCCCTTTGATTCTGCCCACAGATGTTTTGTTTCACCAAATCGCACGAAAATGCAGAATGATAATAATTCTGCCCAACCTAAATTTATAAATACGATAGTAAATGAAACAGTTTTTAAGTAAACACAAAGTCAAAAAATCTTGTTTTAAACTGACTCTTGATTAAATTAAAGCTAAACATACTTTTAAACTAGTTCAAAATAAGTTTCGGCGAATTGAAGTTTGACGTTGACTCCATTGTTCGTTTGGACACAACATTTTTGTCGTAGTTTTAGAAAAAAACAATTACTTAATTAAAGTTGGACAATGAACATTAAATACCTTCAACAAAAAGAAAATGAAGGCAAACATAGTTCAGAGTTGCTCCTAAGCTTTTTAAAAAGGTTTAAACTTTTGCAAAGTTCGAAGAGCTTTGTCTGATAGGTGGACAGGACGACAGGACGTGGCATATTCGCATAAAGGCCTTTCTATGCGTTCAGCCTTTACAAAAGCTGCATATGGTCGAGAAAAAATTGAGTTTACCCGTGAATAGACGGCAAAGACAACATGATTATTGGCATAACTGTCAAGTTTAATACCGTATACATGTGACTTTAAAATCTTTGGCATCCTTTTAATGTAAGACTCTACTCATGATTTTAAATATTGAAATTTTAACTCACTGGATTTGTTTCATATTTGAGAATATCTTATGTAGAGTCTTAATTTAAAAGGATGCCAACGGTTTCAAAGTCACCCTGTATACCTATTAAAGGTATTGTGTATTTAGTAAGTTACGTCATGATTAAATATTACAAAAGAGAAAGTTTGTAAGGATTTGGATGTTACTCAACGTAAACCGCTGGATTTACTAAACTTTGATCAGTTCGATAATCCCTTGGCACTTACAATAACATAAAATGTTTATTCGATGAGGGATTTTAATATATGCGTAGGTTATTCAATTCGTATAGTATGCAAATATGTTGAGTGGAATTACTTAATCCTCTAAGCCAATTTGGAATTTTAGGGTTTTGAACGTCAGGTGGTCTTTAAAAAGATTATTTTACGACCAAAATATTAGCATTTGGAATAAATATTGGCATAAAGTTCGAAAATACTGAACTGTCCTATCCATGACATTGACAGTGGGGCGCCACCGTCAATACCGGATCGCTGGTTCCGATTTTTGCCATGTTGGAAAACATATAGTTGAACGATGGTAGCGCCCCCCTGTCATTAAGTTTGGTGGGACAGTTCAGCGTGGGTCATCTATACATGAGCCGAAGTAATCCGTATAGCGGTTCATTCAATCTGACATTACGGTTGTGTCCTCGAGTTACAACCCCAAGATAGAAGAATAATACCTAATTTACTATTATTACGAAAATGTTGAAAATTCAGACAAAGAAAGGGATTGGGCTATTTTTATACTAGTGACTACGACTCGCCCAATATTTTATTTAGAAAATGTTAGCCCACCTTAGTAATCTAACGGAAACCAAACCAATATTGGCAGGCCATTTCCATGAAGAGGTTCCTTGCTCTTGGTCATTTCTGTGAAGTGGTCCGTTACTGTCTAGTCACGAATCACAATACATTATCCTCCGAATCCAATACTAAAGTTTACCAATACCTCGAGGGAGTAAAACTAATACTTCACAATAATCACATATTTTATCTTTTTATAGTACAATTATATTCATAACTAGCTTTCCGCCCGCGGCTTCGCCCGCGTGGAATTTTGTCTGTCACAGAAAAACAATATCGCGCGCGTATTTGCTCACCGTTTAGACCTACCCTGGACTACGACAAACATTTTAAAACCAAAATCAGCTCAATCGGCCCAGCCGTTCTCGAGTTCTAATCAGACTAACGAACATCAATTCATTTTTATTTATATAGATAGATATAGAAATAAAGAAAGAAAGAAGAAAGAAAAATGGTTTATTTGGTTCAAACAGACGTTTTAAACAATTTAAATTACATACATATTTATTGAACCAAAATGGCTCCTACTCAGCTTGTATCATACTTAGATAGATAGATAGATACTTAGATGCTATTCTGAAAACAGATTTATGTATAGTCTGATGTGTACTTCAAACGTTAAAAGTGTAATGCAGACTGTGGATCGTTGTTGATCATCATCATCATAATTTCAGCCATAGGATGTCCATGCTGAACATATTAGGCCTTCCCCATTAAGTTCCATGATGACCGGTTGGCAGCGGCCTGCATCCAGCACCTTCCTGCTACCTATATGAGGTCGTCGATCCCCCTTCTTGTGGGTGGACGTGTTAAAGAGGCACTTAATCAGTAAACTACTAATTAACCTTTGATTGGAAAGTCAAATGATGGATGGTTGGTTTATGTATAATATAAACTAACAATGTACAATATTGCCAATTTAAGTTTAATAGTGCGGACTATGCGTTTATATTTGACTTTAGGGTGAGATGTCAGTTTTTGTGAGGTTACTACGAAAAAGATGGAAAACTTGACATTATGTAAAGGGCACACGAATATAATCATGCTTGTTTGAATCGCATTAACAAAGGGACAAAACCATTAGTTATCTCAATATCTAAGAGGTATTTTGGTTCTAAGCATACCTACATTTTACGTCATAGGTCAAAGTACATACATAGGCGTAGTGGGCGTGTATGATCCAAAGTACCTACGTACTTAATATATAAATTGAAATTGTAAATAGGTATTATGTACTTGTTTCGTAAATTCTGTTGTTATTCCATCAATTCAGTCCTTAAGCTCTGCTAAATCGATAAAAAAAACAAACCAATTATTCGGCTTTCGTTTCATTTGAAGGATTTACTTGTGATTGTTTACTCTCCATCAACGAAATGTGAAATACAAGCCAGTCGTAAGTAACTTTACTTAGAATTCGTCTGAAATATAATGGATGACTGACCTATTATAATTTTTACTTAGATTTATTATACTATTTTACTAGATGAAAAATACATAAGACCAAGGGCATGGAAACAAGTAGAGGTTAGGTTTTACTTAAATATTGAGAAATTATTATTTTAATGTACCCGAATCATGTAGATAGCAGAAGACGCCATTTAGGCAAGTGACAGGGTTAATTTAATAGAGTTAGCTATTAATTTAGCAGAACCTAGGCGAATCGGAAGATCTAAAGGTGTTTATGATTGGACATTATTCGGGGAGCGAAAACCAATTTGGAACAGACAATAGCAATAGCTTCGGTTTACGCGATGAGGAACTAACGTAAGTGCGCCTATTAACGACCCCCCAAAATTTGTATTCTATTACCGCCCTATTTTTCTTTCTATCATAAAATACATAATAACAGGTTCCAGAAAACACGTTACCTAAAAATATCTAGATATGTTTATTGACTATCAAAACGATTAAAGTTTGTGTTCGTAAATAACCAGTAAACGGAGTTATTTGACATTAAATGGGACGCGCCCGCAACGGACGCACTTTTCATACTGACGCGCTCCCAGCTACTTAAGGTGCACCTTGTTATTAATTAGCGATTTTAACACATTTAAAATGAGTATACCAACATGTTTTTGCATAACAATATTAATTCGTACTTTAGTTTCCTTAATAAACCCTCAATATAGCCCTCTCGCTGTATTTTTGTGGCTTAAATACAATTTTAAATAAGGGCGGTAATAGAAACACTTTTCATAATTTGGTTCCTAATAACGACCCATGGCGTTGTTAGAATTTTGATAACGTTTTTTATTTTAGTATTTGTATCTTTAACTACGCATTTAACCTCCATTTTGTTGTCTTAATCGATTCATAAGAATATTTCACATAGTTAAATCAATTAACGCCATACGTTAATTGTCATAGGTTTGGCATAAAACTGCAATGAACATTAAAGAATATCTCTAATAATGTATGACAATAGATTTTATAAAAACCTGTTAAATTTTAATTAGTACCTATTTGATATAAAATAAAACCTAATAAAAATGATACTTCACTGATCATGTCTTCATTAAAGTAGATATTTTAGCTGCTTACTGTTTTTTTTTACGGTCGCTAATAGAATAAAGTAATGTTCATACTTAATTCTATTACCGCCTCATAACTATAACGCCACCTGCGAAGACTTATAAGCCTGTATTTTGTATATAACTAACATTTATGTCATGACACCAAACCAATCATGCGTTATCACAACTACTATGTAACTTATTAAGATCTTTTGAATAATAAAAAAAATATTTAAAATAATTATACAGACAGTGTCCATTGTCCATAGTTTAAATTAAAATACACAATTACACACAATTAAAATCAAAAACATAAGTCAAAAACTAATTGAAAATTATAGTCAAATTAAAAATAAAAATGAAATATTAAATGAATATTTAATTTTATTAAAACTCAAATATAGTTTAAGTTTAAATAAGGACCCCCACTACTTACTAGAACACCGGGTACCGTGTAATCAAGTATAATAGAGGAATTTATTATTCTACTATTTTTGCTTGATTTATTTATTTATTTTCGAGAAGCGTACCTTTTCTCTTTTAATAATAAAAAATAGACTTGAAAAAAAAAACAAATTTAACTATAACTAAAAGCAAAACAAATTTAACGTCAAAAAACCAAGTGGTTCCCGAGCCTCTGAGCGGGAATCGAACCCGTGCCTCTTGGAATATACCCAATTGAAGAGCAATATTCTTAGCGGTCGGTAATAGAAACAGAAAAAACGTTAATAGAAACACACCTCGTCTATAGGTCGGTAATAGAAACAATTGCTTTTTCAGATTAAATTGCTATTTATTAATTATTGTGCGATTGAATACTCATTTTTACTACTTGAATTCAAAGATTACTTCATCATTGTTATAAATAAATTAAAGTGTCTTTTCTATCACCACGTCTTATATCTAATTTTCTAACGTTTATCCGAAGTGAGCTTAAACTGGCGGTAATAGGCGCATTTACGTTAACTGGCAGGTGTCACCGTACGACGAATAGTGAATTTAGCGGCCAAAATGATTGAAACTAGGCAACCCAAGTCAAACTGGTTGAGCGATGATGGACGATAAATTATGATTAATGAGCATTCACTGTTATGAATTATGTTAGTGGTAATGGCGTTCACTGTTATGAATTATGTCAGTGTGTTTCAATTAGTGAGTATGGACACTATCTGAAATTGTTTTTGTACTAAGAACTCGATGAATATCAAAAGAAGAGGCTGTCGAGTAACTGACAACATTAAGTTGCTACTTATAATTATACTTATCCTGCTGGATATAATTTTCTTACAGTTCAACTTACACACATTGTTCCGTAGTTACAGAGAAAAGGAGATTAGCAAGATATACTCTCATTTATTTCCTACAGTTAACCTTACACATTTCTCCGTACGTGCTACAGAGAAAAATACAAGTGCAGTAAAGTAACATTTGAATAATACATTCACATTAACATGGATCGACGCGAGCGCCTTGCGGATAGAACAAACGAGGCACGTAAGCGCAACGTAGGTACCGCGCGTCCCGACCCGACGCAGTGTGAATAAAATAATGGATATGTAAAAATAGACTAATTTAGCCTTGTGTTTACGGCTGAATAGAATAGAGAGTGGTATTATTAATACCACCCCCATTCTCCTCCCCAACCCGTCTGGACAGTATTGAGGGTGCTAGGTCAGATCCTCCTATTTGTCTGGTAAATTAGAAATGGTCGTGTTCCTGCCGAGCTTGAGATTAAGCTTGAGCTAGCAGTACCCTATGAAGATGTTAATGTTTACTTACCTATCAATAGCTATGCATATGAGCACGAAGCTGGAGAGGTAGAGGCCGAAGGTGCGCGCGAACATTATCAGCCGGCACATCAGATCGCCCGCGCGCCAGTGATGACGTCACACGTAGCCATTGAAGATGTTGATGCTTACCTATCAATAGCTATGCATATGAGCACGAAGCTGGAGAGATAGAGGCCGAAGGTGCGCGCGAACATCATGAGACGGCACATGAGGTCGCCCGCGCGCCACTGCACCGTGCCCGCCCACGCGATCTCCAAAGGCATCATTAGGAACGTCACCTGCCGACAGAACAAGGGTGTTATTAAGCTTAGATCTACAGCGTAGAGCAAAATAATTAGCAGGTATTATTTAAACTTGAATATGGGTCATATTTTTTGTTTGAAACTTAATAAACTCATTATTGTATTACCCATATCGCGTAGTATTTGGGAGCTAAATTCATTTACTCGTAACCTAGTAACGGTCAAGGACACTTAAATGTACCTATGTGGTAAAAAGAAATGGTTTTATATGGGCTTTGTAATACTACAACTGTATAAATTCCAAGCTCCCAAATTCCACAAATACTGTTGAGAATCGTCGAAGATTTGTTTACATACGATGTGGAGCACGTCATACCTAATGTAAAGTAGGACGCGGATTTGTCTCTAATATGTAAAAGAAAGAGAATTATGCAAAAGAACAAACGTTTTAGGAAAAGCCAAATGAAATATAATAACATACAACTCTCAGATACAGCATTGTTGTCAGTCAGAGTTAAATATTCGGGAAAACAATACAAGGTATAAAATTTCACCCATCTCAAATGTTATTCACTTTGTGAGTTCTAAACTTTGATCATTAAAATTATAATTCCGTGGGTTTGTGTACAAAGTTTTCTTGATGCGGGAGTGTGGTGAAAGCATTGTAAATGTCTTTTTAAACAATTGGGAATATGACGTTTGTATGACTTTAATAAATTCAGAAAAGTCGAGATGCCATGCCAAATCTTTTAACTGGTTGGTTAGACCCAATTCATGAACTTTATTTAAAGTATCTTATATTTCTTTAGGCTAATTAACTGTATCACCTTCTATATCTGTTTAATTTAATGTAGAGACATAACTAGTCGGCTCGACCACTTGAGACTCAGCACACGCGCACCCCAATATTTTTACTACAGTTCAGTTGTTTCTTAAGACTTCTCCGACACTCTTGAACAGTGTCAATGGTGTCTCAGGATGTCTCAGCCTTTGTCTCGTTTGATGTTCGTCGTTCATTACAGCACAAGGGTAATCGAACACTGAGGGTTTTATCTAGTACATTGCTCAAGAGATGGGCGGACAAGTGGATACAGTCGCTTGCTTTGTGTTTGCTTTTACCCAACCACAGGTTAAAATATCATAAACTTTTTGTTAGTATAGCAAGACAATAATAGAGGAATATTTGGCATGTTTTTATAGCAAAGTAAATGTTATGAATCAAAGTAAGGTAGTCGATTTTCATGAATTAATTAAGCTACTTGGGAAATGGTCGGGTATTGTAAACAGGATGTTTATTTCTTAAGCAATACAATGGGAAGAAAGGGAAGAATAGAATAGAATACTTATGAACCAATTGTTCATTTGTACGAAACATGCTATGAAATTATTATTCTGGTTAGATGAAAACAGACTTAAAACAAAGAAGTCTAAATTTAATATCATATTACGCTGTGTGTATAGCAGTCACTTATATCACGCTCAACACAATGGAAAGGAGACCTTGTATATTTATATACGGAAAGTAGATTGAATTTCAACGGGATATTTGCCGTTCCCTCGGGATAGTCCCGATGTCTTGACAACTTAACAAGGACATTAAATCGTTACCTCACTCGTGGCCTTGGGCATTGTCCACAACCCGTAAAGATAGTGTGGAGCAATATCCATTTAACGCCAACTTTGTTGGAGCCCCAATGAAATTGATGCTTTTATATCAATTTAGGAGATTAGAAGGGTAACGTCGCGACGCTGCGGCCGGATATTTTCAAATAACGCCCCCAGAAAGCCGCAAAATCGCTCAAAGCTTCTGTAAACGCGTTACAAAACAACATTTGCCGTGCAAACGCAACAAATGTGTGAAACGCGTATCACGTAAAAGCTTTTTGACATTTGGAAGAAGGCACTGTGAGTCTTACAAAACAATTCGGGCCATAACTGGAGTGAAGATCTTCGCCATACCACACCATTTTGGAGCTTTTAAAGTATGTGTCTGAAATTTTTCCTTTTGCGAATATTTTTTTTGCTTGTTAATCTGATGATGTATCTAAATGGTATTATATTCTTCTCAGAACAACGAAATTGGACGAATTCACACCAGTTATTTAGAAGCTGTAATCTAGTGCTTTATAATAGTGATCAAAGCTTTCAAAGCTTTGTAACTTAAAGGAATATAAAATGCGTAAAGGAATTTTATGTAAATAATATTATCAGACGCCTCTAGTGTGTTTATAAAAAATACGTTTACTCAAAATATTAATTTTGAAAACATTAGCTTTGTAATGGATACTTTGTGAAATTAAAATGTCATTTGTATTACCAAAATGTCATTTTTAAGGGCAGATTAAATTAAATTCATTTGTTTATAGTTGCCAAGTCCTAGGTACTAGTACGTTGGATGTAATTTCTAGAAAACGCCAAGGGATATTCATATTACAACATATGTACGAGTATAACATAAATTGTTGTTTCCCAGAATCTGTTGCTTGTAATGTGTAATACTACGAGTAATTTAAGCATGTTCGTACTTTATTATTTTCTAAGACATCGCTGCTTAACGACGGCGTTAGAAAAAATCTTGAAAGAACCTCTATGTCGTTCAGTAGGTAAAAAGAGCTAGTGTATTTAATTTTCATAAAGTTATAGTAAAAGCTTTTTGATGTTACGAGTATTTCCTGAAAGATCTTTATAAGAAACTAGGTTATTAGAAAATAAGTAATTTCAATTTTATTCCTGAATCACATTTCATTTGTGAAATTTAAACTTTATAAGAGAGAGACACGTATCTCAAGTCTTAGTATAGAAATGTAATTTTAAACCAAGACTTTTAGCTTTATCAAGTCGGCCCTTAGAATTTCCCATAGAAGCTCCATTGAGATCAAAGATACAGTCTCGATGTCGTGTCACACACGTAATACATTTGAGGGAGGGAGTTAAAGTCGCAGTGTATGATCAGTGCCTTAGCAAAAACTTACCATGAGATCAGCTACAGCTAAATGCATGAGTAGCACGTCTAGTCTGCTCGCGCGTCCCGCCCGCCGCCGTTTAACGAGCTGGGACAGCACTGTTATGTTCCCCGTGGCCGAGATCACCATGAGCACACTGTACACTGTTATAGACACCATATGTCCATGGTTAAACCTCATGTCCAGCGGCAACTCATCAGAGATATTCAGATGAGTCCAGTTCTTCTGCGACGCCCCACCGGGCCCGGACACTTTTTCATCTATATTCATTGTGAATGTTACACTATTTCACTTTGTATTGAACACAAGTCATTTTGGAATGCGGTGCTGCACCGGAGAACATTCGGTTTGTGCCTGCAACAAGAGAAAATAGGTGTTAGTTTATTTTGAGAGAGCTTAGTAGATAGAAGTCAAGGGCAAAAGGCAATTAAATAGTTGCTGAAATAAAACAATAAAAAGTTCATTACGACCGGACCAAGGCTAAAAGATTAACCCATTATCAACATACTCGTAGTTTGCTTGTAATTGTTTGTGAATTGTATAAAAGTAGATAGGCTAGTGGTCTTTACTTACAGCTTATGACTCTATCAAAAATTACGTACCATTAATTGAGATTAAGTTTTGTTACAGTTTCATTATAAACTTTTCTTTTAAATATAGTAAAGGATTTTCATTATTAACGATTTTCTGTGATTTGAACAGTCTTTGAATTATAAAATGATTGATCAATGACTTTTTTCAAACGGTCACAGAATTAGAAGAAAGTGTCATTGTTACCAAAATTGAACAGGAAAATTATCGTTAATCGGGTATAAAAAGCGCTTACATCAAGAGTTTTATATTACAGCCGGCTAGGGTCGTGCTCGGACCAAAAATAAAGTAGAAAGTAAATCACAAATTGGGTTTTTCTCTGGAGTCTAAATTTGTTGGAAATGAGTCGCTCGGGCGAGCGATCGGCCTGCTTTGATCTCTGATTAGGAATATGCAAACGATTCATTTCAGACAATCGGAACCCTTTAAAATGTATGCTGAATTTTTATTAACACAGTTCTCTTCTCTTGGAACGGAACTAATTAAAAAATCTTCACAGAGGAGTGGTGGATTATTTTTCGATAAGTTCAGTGTATCCCACGACCCATTCATTTCAGATTCTTCTTAGCTATGAATTGGGAGATATTTTTGTGTAACTTAAAAAAACGGCCCGAAAATAAAAATGTTGTATAAAATATACCAAAAATAGACGAGCTAATATTGACGTATTTCCAAGGAATCGAATAATGTGCCGTTTTTGGTTCACATTCATTTTAATTGTTGTTTTTCCGCCTTGCGAATTGGTTTTGGCAATTGAGTATTGTATCACGTACGTACATAGGTTGATTTAATATAGCGGTTACACGATTTGGGTCGTTCTGATGTTTAAATAAGATGTTAGCACAACTGGTGATCGCTACGTGCGCGTTGTGATAAGTGTACTAATACCTTTTTTACTTGCATCTAAGGCGGAGTTGCGTCAGCTAATTTTAACAGTAACTATGACGATAACCCGTGTTTTATATGTAGTTTGACAGACTCTTGACTATTGTCAGAGTTAAAGCAAGATTGTGCAACTCAGCCTAAGTATTGCCAATTCTACACTTTATTTTACGTAGTTAGATGCATATTTCATTAATTTAATTAATGATAACTAACACTAAAGTGTTTTATATAGCCTTAAAAGCCGCCAAACTGCCATTCATGGCAATAATATATTTTTTCATTTACAGAGTGTCTAGGACGACCTCTAGCAAGGTAATTAAATAGTTGACCAATTTTCCACTGTACAGCCTAGTCTTCGGCTGACAGTTGAGTACGGTCGTTACGCAACAATCGTGCGGACCATCTCTCTGTTGCCATGCTGACTAATGTAAAAGTAATACGATATTAACAATGCTGTTTGTGACACTATGAATTTGTTTCTGTGATATGAACGCGACTGTACCGTGATATAGCAATTTATATTAGGATAGAGCACTTTTCATAATACCTTATTATAAGAAGTGCTCTTGCAACTTGTGTGTGTGTTTTTTAAGAAGTAAAATCATAAAACCAAAATTATCTTTATTTGTATAAACTAATGAAATTAATACTTACAAATCGTCAAATACCTATTAGTCCAGTAGAATTAGCTTTTAAATCGGAAATAATTCCTACAAAAGATTTTATTGCTTTAATGGCTTCATTGGTTGCCCATTAAGACTCTCCTAAGTTTTCGACTTCGACGGAGTTGTGCTTAAGTGTTGGGGGCCCCCGAAAGGGGCGCTTTTTCGGTTTTCCAGTTATACCGCGTAAAGGACTTACCCTATCGAAAAGTGGTCTTCCTGATAGTTGAAGGACATTTAATTCTGCATTAAATAAGACCAAATTCATATGTTTTGAACAAACTGTTCTCGTGCAAATGTTCGGCAAAGTAGAAAATATGTGTATAATTAATGACCCTCTCCACGTCCAATGGCTCGTTACCCGCAGGCTTCCAAGTCTTGAAAAGGAGCGCCTCAACCAGTGTAACCCTATCAAGGCATACGAGCTGGATTCGCCGATCCTTGTTCGTCCCAGCCGTTTTTAACTGCGGTTGCTGCACCTCTTCCTGGCACTCACCTGAACGACTCTGTGTTACCTACTGTGACTGCCCCTCTTCCTTGTATCCTCCTGCACGACTACGTTGCCTAGCCGTATGCCTGGTCTAAGGTTTGACGCCAAAAATCAACAACAACAAGTTCATATTAAAAAGCTGAAGAGTTTTTTGATTGTTTGTTTGAACGCGCTAATCTCAAGAATTACTAGTTTGATTGAATAGGGTTACACTGGTTAAGGCGACCCTTTACAAGGCTTGGAAGCATGTGGGTAACAAGCCATTGGACGTGGAGAGGGTCATTAATTATACGTATATTTTCTACTTTGCCGAACTTTAGCGCGGGAACGTTTTATCCAAAACATTTGAATTTGATCTTATTCAATGCAGGATTAAGTGCGCTTCAACCGTCATGAAGACCACTTTTCGATAGGGTAAGTCCTTTACGCGGTATAACCGGAAAACCGAAAAAACGCCCCTTTCGGGGGCCCCCACCACTTAAGCACAACTCCGTCGAAGTCGAAAACTTAGGAGAGTCTTAATGGGCAACCAATGAAGCCATTAAAGCAAAAAAATCTTTTGTAGGAATTATTTCAGATTTAATCAATTTTTGTGTTTAATTCTACTGGCCTATATCTATACATGTCTCATTATATTTTTCTTCGAGCTTCGAGCCAAACATTTGGCAAGTGCTGAGAAGAATCGCCGCAACAAACTCAGTCACCACTGTCTGCCAGTTTTAATATAAAAAAGTAATAACATGCGAAAGTGATTAAAATATTACAATAGAGTTATTGCTTTTTTCATTTGTTCATGCTGAATCTCTCGTATATAGCTAGTCTATCTACAGAAGTAGTCATAAATTGCAGAGTGTAAAGAATCTAATTTGATATTAAGGTTCATACATAAGATTCGGTCTGGTTTTATCTAGGCTACTCGTAAGTCGATAGATCTGGTTTTTTTTTTGTGATAGTTGTAATACATTTCTATACAATATTTGTCTGTACAGAATGTCACACTCGACAGACCAAACTGACATAGTTCCAAACTTTGTTAATTTTCTTGTTAAGACCAATTGGAGCTGTATCCCATTGGAAACGTTATCTATATGCTAAGTAATCCCTTATTTAATATATTGTGTTCGGTTACCAGGCAACGCCTTTTTTTTGAATAAATACAACAACTAACATAGTTTTAGTATCTATATCCCCCTTTTTGTCCATGTTTCTATGTATAGATTTCATGCTTTAGTACTACAACTAGTTTGGCAGTAAAAGCAGTTATTAATAAACTTTCAGGTCATGTTGAAATAATATAGTTAGTGGATTTTTCAAAATCAGTAACACAGATGTATTAAGCAAATCTACGTAATTATTTTCAGTAGGTATTTCAGTGTCATTCAAATTACGAAGCGTATCTTAATCATTGGGATTATTTCCACATTTGTATTGTGGGAAAACTATCTGTATTGAAATAGTTTAACTATGGTTTCGCAGTGGAGGTGTGTTCCTGAAATAGTAGTGTGATATGTAAATATGTAATTCATACCTCTATATTATTAGAACATCAGCTTAACTCTGTAAATTGGGCCACTTATGCTATATTTGGGTACGCCGTAACTTAGGCTTACTTAGTCGCTTTAGGGGCGCTTACAGAGGATAAGCCTAATTTAGGGATAGGACTCTTTTAGAATTAGCAGTTCGATGTTATTTCGCAAGCAATCGATTATTAATACTAGGCAATGTTGAAGTCTATTTAATTTACTAACATATACATTAATTCACTTACAAATGATGAAAAAAAATCAATTCCACACAGCAATCTGTTTTGATTTGAGCGGTATTATTATAAAAGCGATCTAATAATTCAGAAACAACAAGGCTACACATCATTGTCGTTGTAAAAAGAGTGTTTTTACAAGAATAACGTCCGTATTCACAAACATTACTATGAGGTCGCACAGTGCCCGTGGACACATGCGAACCAATCACAGAGCTCTATTCAACGCTGTGCGTTCGATTTTCTGCTTCACTTAAGCAAGCATCGTTTGTAAATACGGGTGTTAGTGTAGTCTGATAAACTGTCAATACATCCTTACACGTCATCCGTTGGTACTGTTGGTAGCCTACTTAGAAGTAAATGACCTTACATTTCCCGAATTGAAGCTCCCAACTGTCAGTTCCCTTCGTGACAGTCAAAATAACCGAGAAACATTTGTTCGCCACCCAAGTGGCTTCGCAGATTAATTAAGGAACTATTAACGCCCTTATTGACAGAGGTCTGTCGGACCCGGCCACTTTGTTCGCCCATAATTACTATATTACATTTCCACTGTTGCCACCATTTTCTTTCATCTTTCCTGGGTAGAAACACTGCAGGTTAATGAGATTACCAAGTAAAGGAAAAATTAAGATTACGAGGAGACAATTTATCGTTATAGCCCTATAAATAAGGTAGACAGACAATTTCCTTTAATAGTTAATAAAAATTTTAGTACTTATTAGGTACTTGTCATTTACGAACTAAATTATTTTTTCTTGAAACTCTCAATCATGAAAAGCTGGTATATTTTAGGCTTGTAAATAAGACTAGAATAATATTACAATCACAAAAAGTTTCAATTTAGTATCTATTTGGAAATAAATATTATCTACGTCCAATCCTTTATTTGGGTATGTTGTAATGTAATGGGTTTCTGTCTCTTCGTTCAACACAGAATATAGAGCTTTTAAGCTTCTGCCAAAGG